CGATCAAGAACTATAAGTTCTTTACTAGTGTTGTAACGCGTAGACTGCAGGTTTTGATACGCAGCGTTTTATATCGATCGCTTCTGTGACACGTAAACACGTAGTGAACGACCTGAAGTCCCGATTGGCCCTGCTTAGCTGTCTAGCCCAGCCAGTTGAGTCCAGAACGCAAGTCACAGCCTCTGAGATATGAATCATTATATTTCAAACACACTCTGTTTATATACTAACCAAGCAGACCACATCGTACCATAAAAATAGAAAAACAACAGTTACACAATATTAAACAAGTGAAGCAAATATCGATCAATAGGAAATATACATTTAACGTTCAAGGACACCATTCGACTTGACACGATAATTATTGGCATGTTCCTCTGCATACCTAACAACTAGTGCTGCGTGGTTGAAGATATTTAACGGGAAATCCTGGTTTACCTACTTGGGTCTTGTGCCATTTTACACTCATTATCTTGAGGGAGCCGATGTACCCTGAGGAATTTGTGACCACGTCACACAGTTTGTGTTACGATCTCTCTTATTACAGCATAGCTACTCTTATTCTTGGACGTTACTTCAATCGACAAGTCCTCAAATCAGAACACGGTTGAACAGGAACGTAAACAAGGTTGAATAAAAGCAGGAACCACAATAAGAAGAAGTCAGTATATTCATAATCTTCACACAAGAATATTCTAGTCTTCTCCTAGTATCCGCCAATCAGCGTGCCCCAACACAACCCTGTATGAAGCATGCTTTAACCCAATCTATATCTCGTTAACACAGCCAACTTTTGTAATCTAGAGAATAAAGAGGTTGAGTTGGTTCTGTTTGGGAGCTGTATACAGACGCCCAAAAAACAGTAATCTGGAATCAAATAATCCGAGTACTCGTCGTAGGAAGTTCCGCAATTTAAAACCAACATCTTAGGTTATACACCATGTAGACACTTTTTTCGCTCAGTATATCGACTTATGGTGCTAAAAGGTCACAACAGTTCCATAGCAGTTTAACCAATTAACCAACCGACTTCTCAAAGTATTCAGATGTTGTTTGCATAAGTACACAGAGATATTTTTGTTACAAATATGTTAATTATCAATAAGGAACACAGTACAAAGACAAAACTGTTGTTCTTGATAAATTTAGACTATCCCTTGTTATAACTTGTGGCCTGTGTGCCCTGTTAATGTATGACGTAATGATACCGTCAATTAGAGAGTAGTGAATTATCGACCGGACCAATGACGCATAAAACACATACGAGCAGTCTAGAGTCCTGATTGGTCCTGCTTCTTGCTTATCCCAGCCAATTAGGTCCAAAACACCAATTTCAGCCTCTGCAATATGAACCGTTTATTTCAAGCATACTAGGTTTATATACCAACCAGACAGACCACACCGTACCATAAAACAGGAAACAACATATTATACAAGATTTAGCCAAATGTGGCTGTGAATGGGGGAGGTAGTAATTAATAGATAGGGCATAATTCAAGAATGGTAAATCATAAGATAATAGTTCATAGGTCAAAATAAAGCTCATAATAAGAGGGACATGAATATGAATAGTTTAGTTATTTAACAATAAAAATATACATAGTATTGTTCCATAAATTGATCCCTAAAGTTACCATCCATTATTCTTATCGGGACATAACATCACCTGATAATAATGTGGTATCATATTTAGTGATGACTCTGCCGGGAGCCCCTCTGGGGCTACTGCCGGTCCCAAGCCCGGATAAAGGAGGAGGGTTGGGCATGGGGTTAGCGACCCCACCCCGTAGAAAACTAACTCGTTAAAAAACGCTAACCAGGAATTATTCAATCCCATTTAATTATACCATTCAGTTGCTTAAACTGAAGTCTGTGGGAACGAGTTCGAATATACGAACTACCAATTAACAGTTGGATGTTTCAGCTATTAGCTCACTGCTCCACTTGCAAAACGTCGCTAAGATGTTTATTCCCCACGCTCTGGCCATTTTAAAAAGTACCACTGCAACAATTAATCAAATCCATTGATACCATTTGACAAAATTTCACTTTTTTTCTAAACAATGAAACTTAACCAAATCTAATAACTGCAAAGTCTATTGTGGTAGGCAAGATTTTAAATATCGAAAAACTTAAATATGAAAATAAGGACAAGCTGAACTTAGATAAACTTTTTTAGTTTGATGTACCATAAACAAAAAAGTCATTGATGAATACTCTTTACAAGATTACAAAATGTGATAAGAACAATATCATTATTCTTATTCAGTTCCAGATGATCTTTCTTACAATATTAAACGGTGAAAGTTACTTTACAGAACTAGATCTAGCCGAAGCCTATCTGTAAGTAGAGGTCGACCCTTCGTACCGTGAATTACTGACAATAAACACACATAGAGGTTTATTTCAGTATAGGCGACTGCCTTTTGGAGTAAAGATGGCACCAGCGATATTCCAGAATCAATGGACACCATATTAACTGGTATTACAGGTGTAACCGTTTATTTAAACGATATATTCATAGTTACAACATCACCAGAAGGGTTATATGACCAAACCAGTCGTGATGACGTTACATGCTCGGTCATATTCTGCTACTATAGTAAAAACTTATATACCAATTTGGTTTGAGTTGCTTGTTCTACCACAAAATATCAATTTACCTGCAATTCCGTCTTCTTCCTGCCTTAGCCGTCGAGGTTTAATGTGTTGAGCATAATTGGGTGTTGTCAGTTACAAAGAAAATAGATCGTATTAGAGAAGCTCAGTCGTTTATGTTCCTAAATCCGTAACATTGTAGGTCGTACTGAACCACAATAACCAGACACAACAACGCAATGAACTGTAAATTCAATAGTCAATTGGTTAATTGATAAATTAGTTGCCATAGTCAGAGAGTTAATCGTTTGTGTGTGGGCTGTGATACTGCCCGGGTGCCAAAACCGAAGCAGGTGTTTATCTTAGGGGGCCACACCCCGAGCCTTTGACCTAATGGTCTAACCCACAAGGCAGTGGAGCATCGCAAGGAGATGCAATCCCATGGTAGCCGGTGACCAACGATTGGTTCATACGCCGTTTGTTCCCGCAGGATGTGTGGCGCATATATATTGGCGCTCTCTTGTACCAATATTTATGTGTTCAAATAAATAAATAAATAATTGATAAATACTATTTTACATAATCATACACTTATTTATCCTCACTATTTAGTAAATTTTCAGTAATTTAAACTAAATTCTGATATCTGTATAAAATTACATAGTGTTGTATACATTTGATTCAAATGATTTATTTCAAGAAATTCTTATTATCATTCTAGATATTTACTGAAAGTTTTGCAGCTAATAATGTTGTCTAGAAAGACGATGGAGTTATTCAGCTCAAAGAACACAAAACCAAAGTAGTCCTGCTGAGTTATAAATTAGAAACTGTCTGCAGAGGATGATGTAGGAGTTTGCTGCAAAAGATAAGGACTTAATTTAGTACTTATGGTCTAATTTAACTTATCAATGATCTATAATCATCTACTTCATTACAACTACATCGATAAGAAGCGATTATCCATAAGGACTAAGCAATAGGACATTAATTATGAATCAATGACTAATTAGTATAAACATGTACGTTACAGAAAGTCAATTCTATTCAAGTAGCATAGTAATGACATTTTTGAAAAATACTGTGAGGCAGGCTCGAATTCCTTATCGTATTCTTTGAGAATCTAGACAAATTTTCCCGACAACAGCCAGACACCTTGGAAAGTAATTCTGTGATTCCTACTAACAGCAATAATGTACACCACGACACTGTATCACTTAGATCAGTGGACATGTTGCAGCTAACTTGGTGGGATTCTATCAGCATGAAGGACTTGATGAGACATGGTAAATGATTACCATTAGTGAGAGGTTAGTTTTTTTTAATATATCTAAATTATCTGTTTGCTACATATTTGTATGTTATTATATACATGCACTAAATCCTTTCAATCTTCATATGCTAACCAACAGTTTAAATAGTCGTAAGAAATTATCAATAGTTGTAAATAGTAAATGATTTATTAATTTTAGTCGATGAGTGATTATAAATTGATCATCTTCATTTTTCATGTAGTACACTGAGATTTGTATGATGGTTTGATGATTACAACACCTAGCCTCTAATTATTAAAGATTTGCTTCACCTGTTTGAAATTTGGATAACTAGGCAGTAACAAAAGTGTGGTTTAGAGTTAACAATACAAACATATATTTAATAAATAAGGCAAATTCCTATTATAGTTTAACCAGACACAATAAAACAATAGTAATGATGTTGACGATATAATCTCCAACTGACTATATTTATTTATTTAATCACATAAACATTGGTACAAGGAGCCACCAAATAGATATGCACCACATAAATCATTCGATTTGTGTGAGGGCTGGGATACTGCCCGGGTGCCCGGACCGAAGCAAGTGGTTATCTTAGGGGGCCACACCCCGAGCCTCTCGCCTAAAGGTCTGACCCACAAGGCAGTGTAGCATCGTGAGGAGATGCAGTCCCATGGTAGCCGGTGACCAACGACTGGTTCATACGCCATTTAACCCCTCAGGATCCTGGAGCCCATGTGCACCATTGTTTTGGAATCCGGTTAAAGTGCCGGACATTCGCTATTCGTCCTCTCAATTTCGTAAACAACACCCCCGCCACGAGAACGCAGTGAGTAGGACTTCCCTGGAAGAAGCTATACGTACAGCTTTACTTAATCACTTACGCCTGTTACTCCTCGTGGAGGGGCATAGGTCGCTCACCAGCATTCTTTATCGAACTCTGCCCTGGGCTATGTACAGGTAGAATAAATATAGTTCTGTTCACTATAAGTGACCAATTGTTTAACACTCGACATTCAACGATTACATCATGGTACTGAACTTACACTTTCTAGATCAGTTTCGGCAACTGGACTATATCATTAATCTATAAACAAAATATATATAGTTCAAAACTTGTAAATAAATCACACCGAAACTAACTTTATTATTTCTCTGAAAAAATAGACAATATTATATGTCAATAATTTATTGTAAATCTTCTTTTTATGTACTATGCATGATAATAAATCACGTACATACACACAAAAAAACAAAAACAAAAAAGCGGCTTTCACATAGACATTATGAATTTATAAGCGCCTCCATTTTACAAACATCCTTGACAAATAATAATGATGAGTGTACAATTGAAGGCACAGAGTAGTAACAATTTGCATTTACAAGATTGAAAGGTGATTTTTTGTTTGACTTTTGTTTAATATCGAATGGTTAGACGGTGAAAAGGGTGATGATGATGATGGTGGCGGTAATAGTAGTAGTATTAGTAGTAATAGTAATAAATAAAGTCAAAAACTCTGAGTAATTTCTTTTAAAGTTATTTAATTTTGTTCACCTACTATTGTCTCTTGCATTCGAGCACTTGTAACTTCTCGTCGTTTATTAGTCACTCTAGTCGACAATAAATCTGACTGACATATAGGACATGTTAATTTATGTTTCATCCACTGTATAAGACATTCAGAATGATAAAGATGACCACATCTAGTAATTTTTGCTGTAGTTATAGTCATTTCAGCAAAACATATTGGACATGTATCACCATACCGTTCTAATTGTATTTTACTAGGATTAACTAAATCATTCATACGTTTAGTGCATAATAATCGCCATTTTATCCATATATATGCTCTACGCGCTGATGGATATAAAACTAAGGAGAAATAACAACAAATAATAAACAAACGACACACTCCAAAAGAATCATAGAATACTAACCAACAGACTGTTAGAAATGATAATAATGAAATAAAATAATCAATTACTGAACTAATCACTTTTGTCCAAAATATTGTTGGTTGAAATCCTGTCCAATTAGGATATCGATAAGAGTATTGATAAATAGCATATTCAATTAATGTAACTACAAGGCTAATTAATAATTGACAACCGCTTAGAAATATTCTTAGTCGTCTCGCAAGTATTGCTTCTTCCGATGAGCCAATATGTGATAAAACAGCTAAATAGGATGCATTTTCACTGTGATTCATATTACGAATATATTCCAGTTTGTCATTTGTTAATATTCTTGGCAAACAAGTGAACATATTAAAAGCTGCGAAAATTAGCACAACACAAAAACACAATGGTCGTACATGCTCGGACCAATTTGTTTGTTGACCAGGTGCCCCAAGACGTAATAAGAATGACTTGATCAATGCTTGAATAGGATGGATACACGCAATCACAAGAACCATAATTCCATACATAGAACATGATGCACGATAAACTGGTGGAAGATTAGGCATATCTGATTGGAAAGCTAAGAACAAAAAGACAACAGCACAATTCCATCCAGTACTAGCTAGTAATTCCATAGCAATAACATCATTTTGATCTAAAGCTAACGCTGGATCATCAATTACATTCCATGTATGTGGATCAGCTGGAGCTTGTGCAACTACCACTGCTAATCGAGCTGTGCCAGTACGAGATGGATCCAATAAAAAGACCAATATAGAAACGAAAATAGTAGCTAATGCACCGAAAAATGCAGCTGCTCCACACACTGACAACCAGGTTTCTGATCCATGTACAAAAAGACCAACAAATAATCTTGTGTATAGTATAGATAATGTTGATTGATTGGCAGTATCCAGGTTAGAATATTCATTCAATGTAGAAGAATTGAATAGTTTCGCCGATATCTCATCAACATTAACATCACCAGTTGGAATAATTTCCCAGCATACTGGACCCAAAATAATCACTGACATTAGTTTGAATGACCAAAAGTACATTAAAATTTGTGGTACATCTAATCGATTCCAATGAAATGTGATATAATCAACTAGACCAAGTCGATATAATTCCAGTTCTATATCAACACATGACATAAAAATCTCATAAATATCAGTAATGCTTAAACAATACAATAGAAGTAGTATATAAATACACAATAAACCATAAGAACAAGTTAGTAAGATTATATCATATCGATAAGCTGCTTCAGAAACAATGGTTACATCATGAACAATATTATTCTCATTTGATGAAAACAAATGAATATTTGTAGGCAGACAAAGAGATTGCCAATTACTATTTACATTAGATTGCTTGACACAACAATTCGGTTTAACCATTGTATAGACATAGAATAACCACGTTGATGAAAAGTTATTTAATCCATAGACGACATTTGTATGAAATGAATGCTTATCATTTGCTGTTGTCGTTGTTGTTATCATCATCATTCTCAATGATTTCGCACTATCGGATCTCGTCAATTCTACTGATGAAGACTTAATAATAATTGGCAACGAAGAGATAAATAGTACAGAGATATAAAGAACTATAATTATAAAATATTTATAAGGTGGTATACGCCTGAATATTGAATTTATTAGCATAAACAAAAGTGAAGTAGCGAGTAATAAACAGCCCAATATACAATGCCATCGTATAAGTAATGACAGTGAAGAAGAAGGAGACGACGACGAGGAAAAATAAGTAGAGAAAGAAGACAAAGCGGATGGAAATGTCGGTAACGTGATAGTGTACAATAAAGACATATAATTCGTAAACATTATACAAACGAGAAAGAGATTTATTACAATAAATACAACAGTGAAAATGCCTTTAATGTAAACAACTGAGGTGACTGCACAAATGATGAAAGCTGAAAATTAAAAATAGAACGGAGATAAAATATGAATATGGAGTACATTAGAAAAACTAGTACTATTTGTGAAGTGCATTTTTTTAAAAGTTGCAAATTATATTGACCACCTTAAATATGGGTAGCAAGTGGTCTTTTATTTATTTATTTAAACAAACATTGGTACAAGGATATATATATGCGCCACACAAATCATTCTATTTGTGTGAGAACTGTAATACTGCCAGGGTACCCAAACCAAAGCAGGTGGTTTTCTTAGGGGACCACTTTCCAAGCCTTTGACCTGGAGGTCTGGTCCATAAGCCAGCGAAGCAGCGTTATGAGATGAGATCCCATAGTAGTCGGTGACCAACAATAGGTTCATACGCCTCGAGCTTCCTCAGGATCTTGGAGCCTATATGCACCATTGGTTTGGAACCAGGGTTTTCCAACACCCTTAGATGAATGCTCCGTATCCACCAGTCCGGTTTAAGCTCCAGACATTCGCTTTCGGTCCTCCCGAATTCGTAAACAACAACCCTGTCGCAAGAAGGCAATAAGTAGGACTTCCCTGACGGTGGCTGTATGCGCATGACTAACACTTGAAACAATGCATGATTTCTTTTTGTATCAAGCTCACTAGTCAATCAATTTAGAGATATCCATAAGTTATTTTTTATCTAGTAAAAAGATACTGACAAAAGTTTATTAGTAAGCTAGGTTGTAATTAGATATTTGAACTCTAGCAAACAACCTAAACCATTAGAAAGAGATGATTTCAGGTGTATAAAAATTCATGGATTTTGAAATGTCCTTAAGGGACAACCACTTAATTTTTTAAGCAAAACTTTCATTTGGAAAGATAAATTCAAACCCGTTCCACTACACTATTAATTCCATGATATTAACGAATATAAACAAAGAAACAATCAAATAATTTGACAGTTATACTCTCACTAACAAGAACCAAAGATTTTAAAGACTCGTAAATGAAAGCTTTAAGCTAGAACTCGAAATTTACTTATATATAGTAGTTTTACGGATGATATAAATATGTGGTGAAAAATATTTTCAAATGTAAAAGTCTTAAGTTTTATAACAACCGCTATGAAAAATGGACGAAACAGAACAAAAATCTTACCGACTGAGATAATGAAGCTGATATGAGATTCATCTGGACACAAACAAGAAGGACAAGTCGATGTTATCCAATTGGAATAGAGTTTCCAGTAATCATAAAGAAAAGTAACGCGTTTTGTTGCTACTAATTCGACGAAAAATAAGAAAGGTAATCGTGCAAATGTATCCCCAATACGTGAAAGACTTTGAAGCATTACGGGACAATATGTTCTTTGGAACCCAAAATTTCAAGGCTGTGAGAGAGAAGAAATACGGCAGGGATTATTCGCATATGATTTGATGTTATAAACAGAGCCTCATTATGGAAATGATTCGCTGCATATGTTGAATCTTAACAGAATCTCCTATGATAGGTAGGTTGATACATAAAAACTGATTTTATAGTACGTGAAAATAGGCATGCCTTCCAGTTAAATCCTCCTAGGTTGGACAGTTGAATTGCATGACTAGCAGCTCACGTTTGCAGTGCCCAAATTCGCTACCCAAACACAACTTAACAGTATTTTAAAACAGAAACTAATCGTAACGGTTCGCGAAAACTGTGCTATATTAGCTAGTGACTGGATTTGTAACAGATCTGTTTCTTCGGATCAATAATTAGTACATGAATCATGGTTTTCGACAGACAGTATGAGCAATTGACAGACTCTGTAGGTGAAAATTTAATATATATAAGGTATTGATGATTAAGTTGTGATCAAGCTTATTTAATTAAATGGTTACAGCTAACAGTTTGTTTTCTGTTTCTTGTAGGTCTAACTTGGTGATACAAACAAACTACAACCTCTAATATACTGTAAAAAGTTATTGTATCAAACGACTGAAGTGTTTTTTCGGAATAAGACTTTGTGCAGTTTATTGTTGATTATTTTATTTAGACATTACAGTAACTAAATACGGTTATATATAATGGGATGTGAATGACATTGTGACAACTACTAGGCAAGTCTTTTATCTCATATCGTTATTTTACAGATTCACTTAATTGCACTTGTGCATAGTTGAAAAGTCTTACTTGTTATTGAAATCAATCGTGGAGAATTCAGCTGCCGAAGTTTTTATAATAATCAGGGTGTTGCAATCAGAGGTTAAGTGTACGGTTATTTTCCATAACTTATCATCCCCGTATCACACAATATAGTAGACTTAATACTAACAAACTGACCACAACACTAGGCAGGCTAATTTATAACATGATGTCGAAAGTGTCGACAACATCACTTATCTTGGAAGTCCGATCAGCCCCAATGGGTTGGTGTCTGACGAAATCTCTGCATGAATTCAGAAAGCTCGTTTGGCTTATGCCAACTTACGTCACTTTTTGCGAGGGCGAGATATTCGTATATCAATTAAGAGACAAGTATATTGTGCGGAAGTTCGGTCTGTTCTACTTTATAGCTGTGAAACATGGCCATTGAAAGTAGAAAATACTCGTAAGTTACTAGTATTTGATCACAGATGTCTTAGAATTATTGCTCGCATCTGCTGGTATCACCGGGTAAGTAATAGTGAGTTTAGACACCGGGTATTAGGGAATGATGGTAAATCAGTTGATGAGGTTGTGAATCTTCATCAACTGAGATGGTTGGGCCACGTGTTACGTATGCCTGAACACCGATTACCATGATGCGCAATGCTGACTAGTGTTGGGGATGGTTGGAGGAAAGTTGGGGGCGGTCAAACCAAAACGTGGTATCAGTGCTCGTAGTCATTAACTTCTAGTCTGAGCAATGTTGGTAGATGCAGACTACTTGGTCGAGGTCCACGTGACTATCGTAACCAATGGTTAGAGACTGTGTGTGACATGGCTCGATCACAATGGTGTAGGTGTATGCACTCTCTGTCTTCCCTTAAACTATGAGATTAAAACCGCTTCATATGTCTTTCTATGAACTAATTCTTTCTTCCTATACTATATCCTTATACACAATCTTTCTTTTGTATATTACCACCACTGAATTAACTACTATGAATCCGGTGTCCATCTTGCTGTATTAATGAGGTATAGTAACTTGGACCGATGCATATATGTGCCTGGTCTTACGTTGTAGCTGACTAAGTGACTATGACAAATACGCACAGAAACAAACAACTGTTTTAATCGTGTCTTCATTATGACTGGTCAGACGTTTCATGATTGATTAGGTGAATTTCCTACTGGATATCGACTAAATTACCACTATTCGATCATTTACTTAATAGGCAATAAACTTAGGTCTGAAAAATACCAAATGATTTTGCTAATATTGTTTGAATTCGCACGCAATTTTGCGCTGCATATATGACACTGATTGTGTCCTGATAGGGTCTGGTCAAATAATATTAGCCGAAAACAATTAAACACCTACGTCTGACTGAAAGTGAGGCCATAAAGCAGAGCCGCACTGAGAGAACTGATGATGAAGTCAAACGAAACACAAATTTGGACCAGAACGAGTTTCAAAATAAACGACTGGATGATGTACGTGAATTACTAACTAGCGTCAAATTGAACTGAGCGTCATCAACTCCCACTTTGTATTCATAAAGTTAACAACGTACGTAAGCTTAAATTGACCATACAATGCCACATAAGTAATAGTATATAAATGTTAGAGTAATCAGTAACAGCTCTATAGCCTTTTCAGTGGTGACGAATAATAGGGGACAACAGGGGAAACTTTGTCTCTAGGCTCAATAAAATTAATCTGTAGAATAAAAAGTCAACGAACTCCCAACTTTACAGAATAAACAATCAATATAAACTGATTGTGCATTCTAGAAATTCCCATCAAGCGAAGGAAATTTCCGGAAAATTCCGCTGACTTCCGTGAAATTTTTTTTGAAAACGGGACGAAAATAATCGTTTATTCACTGGACTGTGTGAGTCGCCCTTAGGAACTGCATTTCCCCTAAAGTGATGTTCAGCATTATAATGCTGGAAGTTCCTTACGATTATAATCGTAAGGAACTTCCATCATGTTAATGTGAGTTCCTTCAGGTAGGTATCTCCTGACGTTTATTTCATTAGCATCAAATAAAGAAAGTAACTTTAGACTACTTATTCTGTTAGAATTAAAATCCACAACTCAACCGACAATCACAACATTAAGATTCCTACCAAGGACATCTGTAACCAAATCAACCCGCGTGTTTGGTTTTCAACCTCCAATCATCTCTGCGGTTCAGATGGTTCAAATGGTTGTGGACGGAATAGAAGAAGCTTTCGCTTAACAGGCTTCCGTGTCTAGTAGCAGGAGATCACCAATACCTCCATTCAGGAACCTAGATAAACTAACTATAACAGATTGTAAAAAAAGGAAACTGATAACTCATAATAAAATGTTATCCTTAGTACTTAAGAATAGGTCAAGTTTCCTCTTTAAAGACTCCTATTAAGTCGCTTGTACTAGTTCAGTCTGCAAAGAATCCCAGCGTTTGACAACTCTTAAAGAGTAGAAGTTGTGTCTACAATCCGTTCTGCTATGTAGTATTTCCGATTTCTGGGTGTTACCCCTTAGGTTTGTATTAGGACTAAGCTTAAGTAGGCGTTTAAAGGGGTGCCCAAAATTGTTTAAGATACTGTAAGTCATTAGAAGATCACCTCTAAGACTCCTATACTCTAATGGGTAGAGGTTAATTGATTGGAGGTGCTCTTCATAAGGTTTGAAATTGAGTCCCCATACTGATTTCGTGGCTCGCCGTTGGATACGCTCCAGAGCGTCCTTACCCTTTTGAAGTGAGGAAGGAAATACTTTTTTTCCGTACTCTAAATGAGGAAGAATAAAACAGTTGAAGATTATGTGGAAAGTTCTTCCGTCATACTGGCCGAAAATGCACTTCAATGTTACCAGTGCAAGGTTTGCTCGAAAGGCATTTTTGTTACAGTTAGCGTAAGACTTCAAATCGTAGGGCACCAGAACTCCTAAATCTTTTTCGATGCGGGATACTACTAGAGAGGAGTTTCTTAAATTGTAACTGTAGTCTGCGATGCGTCACAGATGGACTACTTTTCACTTTGAAGTGTTGAAGGTAAGTCCGTTATCATTTACCCAACTTTGAAGTCGAGTCAGGTCCTCCTGAAGTGATTGCATATCGTCTTGGTTGCGCATCTCTCCTCAAAGTTTCAAGTCATCAGCGAAAGGTAATAAGTCTGACGATAACCTCTGTGGAAGATTATTTATATTAATCAAGAAGAAAAGAGGTCCTAGTACTGAGCCCTGGGGGAACCCAATAGGACATTTGAAAGCCCGAGATAAAGTGAGTTTAACCCCTGACCTTAAAATGTCAGTTTTTTAGATATGAAATGAGCCAATCAATTAGAGGTGGTCTGACACCCAATCGTTTGAGCTTATTGATAAGACATATTTGGTTAGCCCTATCAAAAGCTTTTTGAGAAACTAAAGTAAATGATATCAACTTTCCCCTTGAGATCAAGGATGCTAGTCCATCTGTCGACTGTGGTCAGCAGGTTGGTTATACAAGAGTAACCCTTCCTGAAACCATGCTGTTGGGGTGAGAAGAAATTTAAAGACAGTAAATAGTCATGTATACCATCGCATATCAGGGACTCCATGATTTTTGAAGATATAGAGAGAAGAACCACCGATCGATAACTTGAAGGTTCGCTGCGTCGACCTCCTTTGAAAATTGGTGTGGTGCGAGCCAGCTTCCTATTTTACGGCAGTAAGTGTGAGAAAATCAAGCTGAGCGGTGTTGCGAAGATTGAGTTTGCTCCCTTCAGTATATAGCAGAATGACCTATATCTGGGCGAGAAGTGTCTTTGTGTGTCTTTGTCACAAGCTTCTATAAGCCGATTGATTTCTTTGCTTTCGCTTCTCGATAGTTCGGTAAGGTTTAAGGTATTTGACAATGTTCAATAGTTAGTAGTCCAGCCACTCAAATACACTTGTTTTAGTCAGTTTGGTAGTTATTTGTGAGTTTGTAAATATTGCAGTTTGAGTGAGCGCATTTGTCTCAGGCCAGTAAGGATCCCGGATACCAACAACTATCATATTACCAGACAGGTGGCTGGTGGGTTCCAATATGAAAATAATAAAGTAATATTTCAAGCGCAAATAGAAGACAATTGTTTCAAAATAAATAATTAAAATAATTGGTAATGTTTAAGAAGATGGAATTAAAAGGATAAGAGGAGGATGGGGATGATTATAAGCAAGAATGGAAGTAGTTACTGGCTATGTAGTAATTATAACCATGGTGAGTTCCGAAATATGCATCAGATGTATCTGGCCCAAGAGAGGGATAGTAACCCCTTAGTGAGTACGTGTTTGTCGAGTTTCACCCTAGAGCTATCTGTTGAAGGTAGGCTATGGTCACTTCCGCTATGAGGGCAACTCATTGTGAGAAAAAGTAAAAGGGTGTGTAGAATTATGGTCTACTATAATATTAGTGCTGCTCTAATAATAGACCTGATCCTAAATTTGTAGATTTGTCATGACATAACTGCCGAATCTATAAGATCTTACGTGGAAGTCACACCATCGACTACGCCAACTCACTGTATCGTATCAATTACCAATACATGATGTAGAACAAAGTTAAGCTAGAGAAAGAACAATGTATTTAATATGAATAGAATATATAAGATAACATTCAGCAGGGACCACGCCATGCCATTCGATCAACTCTAAATCATCCCATTCATTATTCGCGCCTTCTCCATAGTTAGGTATTTCTTCGCGTTAAATATTGAGTACCTATTTTCCGAATAATCTCGTATTCAGCTTTGAGGATAGTGTGGTTATGGTCCAATGCCACTACAGGTGCATAAATGTTTGCTCTTTGATATGCAATCCTTATATAAGTTGCCTTGAGTAGCGTGTTAATATTCTGGCAATATGCTCATGTTAGTGTGGTTTATTGTACCCAATATGTTGCATGCCATTAACAGATCACCTTTTATTCTTCTGTATCTAAAAGTAACTAATCCCAGATGCCAGAGTCTGTCCACGTAAAATTCGTGTTTTAGACATAACCACTACTTGGTTGCCCGTCTCTGTACTTGGTCTAACAGATTTTTGTCTCTTTCGAAAAGAGGAAGCTCAATGACACCTTGAACTTCAAGACGGGGCTGTGTGTACGTTTTAAAAAGTGTTAGGAGCAAATCTAGGCTGATTGTGTCAAGCTGCCTGAAAATATAATTGAGAGATTTGCTTGTCTTTGCTGCATCCCTGATGCAGTCTATTCCAATGCCTAGGTTTTATGTGGCTATGGGCCCGTGGTCACGCTCTAAAGACACACTTTCAGTGGCAACTATAGCTTATCCTGGGAATAATGAGTGACTCCGTCTTTATATAAATTGAATAATGTAATAGTCACTTTTGGTAATGACAGACACTGGTATATATCGATATTTACTGACAAGAATATAAAACTCAAGCTGCACAGAGCACCAATAACCTCTGTAGAAAAGAAAACACTTTATATAAACATAGATTCCAAAAGTGATATGACTGAAGACATCCTGAAGAGAAGAATTTTCAAATCTCTTAATGAAACGTTCTTCGCAGCAACCTTGCGTATATGGCTCTCCAACTGGTAAATATTCAGCAATAATTCTAAGGAAAAATTATGCCACTTGACCGATTGTATGTGGAACATAAGGGCATTAAATCATATGCGCCACCCAAATCTCATTTGATAGGTGTGAAGGCTGTGACACTGCCCGGGTGCCCAAACCGAAGCAGGTGGTTTTCTAAGGGGGCCACGTTCGGAGCCTTTGACCTAAAGGTCTGATCCACAAGGCAGTGGGGCGACGTAATTAGATGCAGCTCAATGGTAGCAGGTGACCAACGATTGGTTTATACGCCATTTGTTCCTCTAGGATACTGGAGCCCATGTGCACCATTGGTTTGTAATCAGGGTTTTCCAACTCCCCTAAGTGAACTCTCCATGTCCACCAACCCGGTTAAAGCGCCGGACAACCGCTTTTCGTCCTCTCAATTTCATAAACAACACCCCGCCGCGAGAAGGCAGTGATTGGGACTTCCTTGATATGATCAAATACTAGTAACCTATTAACGACTACGTATAACGACAATGATGCATAGTAATAAAAATAGAAAGGACTACTGTACAGTTTACTCACCACCTCTTTGGCAAACATCTTGTTCATATCACAAGTGACGCAATCTGATAAAAGCTATGCAAGCTTTCTGTATTAGTCTGGAGATTTAGTAGATACCAAATCGAGAAAACTAATGGAACTGCTAGCGTAAGTGAAGCGAACCCGAGAGACTTCATTACTTATCATCAGTCTAGATAACAATGCAGACCAGCCTTGTAGCAACATTACGCATTTAGTGGAAAACATCCATAAATGTTAGGGTTGTTGAGATCAGAAGACTATGTTTATCAGAGCCCTCATAATCGACAACTGAACTGAGCCATGTTATTACGCTTAAACTAACTGGTTGGGGTTCGCTTGATTACAGTATTTACTAGTGCACAAATGCATCCGTTATTCATCTTCCCCAAATTCTGCGCTCAATTCCTCACAACTTCTTTTGGTTTTATTTTACTAATTCATATTTTCTGGATTGTATCTTTGATGCCTAATCTTCAATCATCACTTATACTGTTAGTTCCCCTACTATTCTCGAGTTTGGCCTGACAAATGGGTGTAAAACCTTGTGCCGAAGTAAATACATACCACATCGTGTTGTGAAAGATCAACTGAGTCTGTAATATAGATATTTATGTTGTCTGCGTCTATAAGTGAGTCTCTTAGTAGGACATCAATCTCTAAAGAAAGTGTAATCTTCCGTGCCTTAAGGTAACCGTCGTGCTATTGATAGAAGAAACCAGACAATCTTCGATCTTTGCGCTGTCACAGTGGAGCGTGGGGTTATCTGTTCAGACAAACAAAGGCTCTCAGCATTTAATATAAGATAATAGGGAATATAACGCTTATACAAAATTAGGAAGTGAATTAATACTTGAACAATACTGTTTTGGCATATGCTTGGTTGTTTGGGGTCAACTCTTAACCAACCAACCTATGCTGTTACAGTAGCTTCTCCCTAGAATCGACTTCCGTAGGAACGTCGGTTCGACTAACCTATCTATCATAAACACCTTAGTTCTATTTCTCATCCCAAGGGAAAATCATCAACTCGCT